AGCGTTATGCGTGTGCGTTTCCTATGTATGGGGAAATAGCAGCAGCATGGCCCTGGCTGGATCTTTGTGTGTGGAAATCAATTTCGAGTGTTGGTCTTGGAAGGGGGCGGCATACACGGTTATCTGAGTAACGATGAGAAATTTTGGGACCTGTGCCTCAAAGATTCGACCGCCACATGCCACTAAGACAGCTATTGTCAAATTATTTGCATAGTGAAAGCCGAAGGATATCCATGACAAATCCTTCCAATCGGTGTGGGCTAGAGAGCGAGCTCGGCGAGTCCTGGTGTTTATGAGATCTTCGCACCTGTCTCGCTCTTAACCGCACGCTGACCAGATGACGATGACAGACAAGACAGCGTACGCCGTAAAGTCGTCATGCGGAGTTGATGACTTCATATCATTTCTTGGGCGCTCGCGATAATCATATCCGAACTCGTGATCCTCTCATCTGAGCGCTGAGCCCACAATCACTACGCAATCACTGACGCCTCTCAGAAATGTAGAAGAAGCCCCTTTCCTTTAATATTAATCGGAAGCTCGAATTACGGTATACCGCCGGTGGCCAAGGCCAAAAAGTTCTGTGATATTCACAGGATCTTATCAGGATGCAGATGAACAGAAATGCCTGAACAATTCCCACCTGTCAAATATGTTCCGTGGTCATGTTTTGCCAGGATGCATTCCATCAGATTGAAAAAGGTTGAGACAGGTAGTCATTGTTGCGTGGCCAAACAGTTGCCGTGCCACTTGATCCCACCCCGTGGGTGTAGCATGTCCCGATCGTATGGACCGCACCGGAAGGACATAATCACCTGAAGGGTCGCATAAACTTTTTGTGAAACTATGGAAGATGCAGGTTATTGGACGTCTGTGGCGATGCCTGCATGGAATTCGGGACAAGGCCACCCGTCTCAATTTCCGAGAACGCTCCGTTTAACAACGCCAGGCTCGGGTCGAAATACGGTGACCCGTGAATGGGATTCATGGATCACTGTCAGTTGAATAGAGGAACAAGTGTAGGCATGTCAGTGTTGATGGACATCACGGTTGTTGGCAGGGACCGATGTACGTGTATTTGGCGCACGCGATGCGTCTTGGTTGAGGTGATCCATTCCTGTGTGTTGCGCCTTTTGGATAATTCAGACCCGGCCTTCCCGATCTGTGATGAAATCGCTTTCCAGTTGTCTGATATTCTGTGGCAGGGAACTGCATGGGCAAATTAAGTCCCCGTCGTCAGCTTGCTCTTAACACCATACCGTCACGGCGGATTCTCTCGCGCGCTCTTCACTCGGCGTTTGACTTTATATAAGAGCCTGGTATCTTCTGCGGTGCTCCATCGGCCCTCGAACGCTCCCACAATGCCCATGGACCCAAAGTATTTCCGTACGAGGCTGTTCTTCGACTTGTGCAACACCATTGCGGTTCCTGTTATCGTCCTCTCTTTGCTCTTGAACTTTTCTGGTCATCGTCTACCAGGCTTATTCGTGGTCCCTTCCCAATTGGCATCTATTATTGTATGGGCCTTTGCGAAACGAACGTTGTTGGATTTACGCCAGCGCCGGGAGGCCAAACAATTGGGCGCTAAACCTATTCCCCGAGTCGTCGGAAAATGGCCTGGGAACATCGATGTCCTGCTCAAGATGCTCAAAGCTTTCAAAACTGCATATGTAGTTGACGTGTACCAACAACTCTTCGACGAGTATCAATGCACGACGCTCAATCTGTATATCTTCTGGGCTGACCAGGTGTGTACTTCGAAAGTTCGCACCAGATCTCGAGGATATTCAGTGGCGCGTCCGTGTGATCCTTAGATTGTTACGATGGATCACGAGCATGTCAAGTTTGTGCTGGCAACCGGGTTCAACCACTTCTGGAGAGGCTATGCGCAGAAAGAACGGATGTGAGTTCCGAATAACGCTGAGAATAAGGTCGCGTGTGCTGACGATCCTCTTCATAACAGGGAAAACTTTCTCGGTGTAGGCATCTTTAATCGTGATGACGATGTAAGTCCTGTCACCAATCATAGTATGCCAGCACACGCTAATCACCACCAACAATTTAGGTCTGGAAAATGGTTAGTCCCTTCTTCCCACTATCATCTCAAGAACGCACATCCTCATAATGCAATCCCTACTACAAAGCACCGCACAATGACCAGGCCTTTCTTTGCCCGAGAGCGTATCTCCGACTTCGACATCTTCGAGCGACACACCCAACTCACCCTGTCGCACCTGTCTAACTCCTGCGCTGCCTCCACCGCACTCGACGCTCAAGACCTCTATGCGCGATTCACAATCGACGCGGCATCCGAATTCCTCTTCGGGCGGAACCTTTCCACGCTCTCTGGCGATCTTCCTATTCCTGGCGAGACGCCAATGGGACCAAAGGGCTCCGCGACGCGTGATTCTTGGGGAACGTTCACTGGTGCCTTTGAGGCAGCGCAGACGATCGTTGCCTCCAGGACGAGGATTGGGTGGCTCTGGCCGCTTTTTGAGATGTTTGGAGATCGCAGCGAGCGGTATTGCCGGGTTATTAGAAGATGGCTTGATCCGCTGGTAAGGCAGGCATTGCAGGATAGGGAGAGGGAGAGGGAGAGAGGGACGACGGATGGGTCGCTTAAGGACAAGACGTTTTTGCAGCATCTGGTTGACAGTACGAGTGGTGAGTCTTGTTTTTTCTGAATCTGGGTGTGGGTGGATGTTGAGTGCCACTGGGTATAGATCCCGTATTGATTCGCGACCAACTGCTGAGCATGCTCCTTGCTTCGCGAGATACGGTATGTTTCCCCCCTTACCTCTGTAGTTGCCATTCACTCATCGTCATGCATCTACCAGACCGCATGCCTTTTAACATTTGTGACCTATATAATGGCTATCCACCCAGAGGTTGCTGTGCGCTTGCGTGCTGAAGTTCTAGAGCACTGTGGACCCGATGCAGCACCGACGTACGACCAAATCCGGGGGCTCAAGTACAGTATGTCCATTTCATTCTCCCATGTCCTATTCTTTATTGACGTGTCTTCAATCTCAGTGCGTGCAGTAATCAACGAAACCCTCCGCCTCTTCCCTCCCGTCCCACTAAACGTGCGCGAATCGCGTTCTGCGCCATGTGCACTCCCGCCTTCGGACACAACCTACAACCACACCGACTCCCATGGCGACTCGGATTCAGGAGAAAAGTTGTACATGCCTGGAAGCACCACGATAATCTATCTACCGCTGCTCTTCCAGAAAAACAAGGCCCTGTGGGGCGAGGATGCGGAGGAGTTTGATCCAGAACGGTGGTTAGATCCAGAGCGGGTAAAGAAGTTCGTCGAGAAGCCGTCGATGTGGGGCGCGTTCAGTGCAGGACCACGTATTGTGAGTTGCATCATCTTTTCCTGTATATGCGTCTTGTGATAGAACCTGACGACTGGCGCGTGGACAGTGCGTAGGCCAAAACTATGCTTATAACGAAGCATCGTATTTCCTCGTCAGGCTCTTACAAAAGTATGACCGCTTTATGCTTGCACCCGACGCGCAACCTGCCGCGTCACTTCCCCCTGCAGAATGGAAAAACAGGCAAGGGAGACAGAGCGTCGAGAAGGTGTGGCCGGCGGCGGCGATGACACTTTTCATCAAGGTTGGTGATTTAATAGTTTAAGAGGACGTACTGGTTATTGACTAGGCGTCCTTCAGGGAGGAATGTGGGTGAGATTCCATAAAGCTGGCGATGCATGAGGTTCTTGATGGCAGAACCTGCGTGTTTGGGTCAGGCCTGTCATTTGCGTGCCTAGTAGAGGGGTGCCCCTTGCGCTTAACCCGCATGTACGCGGCACGACGCCAAGGTATGAGTCAAGGTGCTCATGAGCGATCTGCGACTGTGCCTTGGAGTAGTATGGGGTAACCGTATACCAAAGATACTCAATGACGAGTGGACTGGACAGGTGGCTTGAATTCGATATTCTTAGAGTGTATTCAAAGGACAGTGTAACATTAGCAGAAAGGACAAGAATGTATTGTAAATATGTACGGGCACACGCATCACATCTGTTGGTATTGGGCAATCCTGCAGTTAGAGAACAATGATTGATTGTCAGTCTGGTATAGACGTGAGTATTGTGTAGGGAATAACATGCAGTACAGTACATATGTAATAGTAAAGTCAGAAAGGATCTGGAATAACACAAGTGAGTAATATCGTAATGATTGGTTGAGATGTAGGGTAGATGATTCGATAAAGGACAAATCGGACAGCGTCGTCGCGCTGCAATATAGAAATACAGACACTAGTAGCGAACCATACAATCATGGCAAGCAACGGACCCACTAGATTGAGAAAAAAGTTTTAGCAAAACTATTCACGATCACACTATTCATGGCGACACACCTTTCTTTGTTCTCCACACAGCACTTTTTGCACACGATCCTCCCACAACCTGGTGCAAGGTTCCATTCAGTCAAAAACGCTTCTATATCCTCTTCCTGCTCATCCGGAGCTCCAGACACGCGCCGCTTCTCTCCGCGGTTCCCGTTATTAGAAGAAGCATTTGTAGTCCGGTTCGGGGCTAGAGAAGCGAGTGCAGGTCGCGGAGATGTAGGTGCAGGCGCGATTGCTGTAGGTGTCGGTGAACGCGTTAGATATGGCGTAGGGGGAATAGAGTCTGATGAGGGACAAGCGGTGCAAGTACGTGTGCAGATCGCACAAGACGCTGCAGCGCATCTAAGAGAGTATCATAAGCGCGGAAAAAAAATGCGACATGAAAGGCCCACCTTGCACAGATGACGAGGAGACCTTGAGCAGCATTAAGTGAGCGGTGACAGGAAATACATTTCAGTACAACGGGTGCAATTGGTGCAGGGCTTGGCTTTGTAGGGGTAGAAATGGCAAGAGAAGGTGTTGCCACTTTTCTGCGCTTCAGAGGACGCATCGTGGTAGAATCTGAAAGAGGCGGCAAGTTGCAAGTTTCCTCATGTCATCCTTCGGACCGATGAAAGAAAAAGGTCGAAGTAAAATAATACACCGAACGGGAATCGAACCCGTGCCGCTTGCTACCGATTTCGATGGAAGGCAAGCATGATAACCACTTCACCATCGGTGTTGATGAAAATGGAACAAAATAAATTATTATTTTATAATTTACTGGACTGCGGTTCATCAAATCATCAATGAGTCTTGGAAACCTTTGTTCTCTCACAACGAGGTATGCACCGGGCCTTCGGCCCGGGCCTGTCTCGTCTGGGGCTGTCGCCCCCGAACCCCTGTCGCTTCTGTACTGAAAGGGGCTGACGCCCCAGTCTTTCTGTAACTCACAGGGGCTGACGCCCCAATCTTTCTGCAAGTCAATCTCATTATGCATAGCCAACCTTTTGAAGCACACATGAGTAACACACACATGAGCAAGCTCATGTGTGCATCACTCATGTGT